GGTTAAGATCTCATTAGTTATAAAGAGAATAAGATTTTCCATTAAAGTAGATTGAATAATTACCTAAAATCTGTCTTTTGGCATTCAAAAGTTTAAAATGCTCTGTGATGTTCAAGATTTTTGCGAACATAAATGTAGTAAAACATATTTTAAATGATTAGATTCTTCCCCAAAACTTTGTCTTGCAGGTTTTTATTTCATAAAAGCTTTTAAGCACTTTGTCAAGTTCTCTCCAGATATCAAAGTAGGATAGCCCAAATGTTTAAATTTTTGTTTTCCCTTTAGAATAAAGTTTCATTTTTCCATCATAAGTTTATTGAACAACATGATTAGCAATCTTTAAGAACATTTTGCATAGTACTTCACGCAGATAACGGATGTCTTATTCCTTATTATTCTGGCTCTAACATAACATGCAAGAGCATGGTGGTAGGAACAGCCTCAAGTGAGAAAACCTGATGTCAAAGTTCCAGTTTTGGGAACTGAGACGAATCATCATCTCACTCCTCAGCCTTCTTTGTACCATGAGCAACACCTACACTTTCTCTGAGACATGCAGAGCTGGCCAAAGCAACAAAAGATTTAAGTATTAAATTCCAACTCACTGGTTTTGCAGCTCTTAGCCAATGATACTTATTTTACCTTTACAAACAATGATTAAACTTGGGCAACAGCACTTCTAATTGTATTCAGGTACTGAGAGTGGAAGATAAAATAACGCCTTTGATCAAACAACCCAAAGGATTATCTAAATTTAATTATGGGCTCATTCTCTCTAAGAAAGTAATAACTATAATTATTGAGATCATAAGTTGTTAAGAAATGAACTTTATATTTCCCATTCTGGTGTTTAAAAAGCAGGAAAATCTAACCCAAACTGGGGTCAAATCTCTGCTACTTACTAACTCAATGATACACAAATTTCCATAAATTGGAATTTTATTTATGGTAACTGCTTTGATAGGGGCTTTATGAGATTGAAGATAATGCATATAAAATGCTTTACACAGTGCCTGTTAGTGTTAAATAAAACCTACTTCGGAACTTTGGAGGAGGTGGTGACAGTAAATAAGTGGAAGCATTGAATCTGTCTTTATTTTGGACTTCTGTGGACTTTGTGTTTGGTAGTTATCACATGTTCCACTCAACTAAGCAGTAGTCAAGTTTAGTCATAGTGAAGTTAGTAAAATGTATAAATAGCCAGTCCAAACAGAAAATTCCACATCTTAACTCAACCGTATTTTCTATTTAAGAAATGGAGACTTTGAAATAATAGTAAAATGGAAGATAATGAAATTTTTGAAGGTGGTGCTAAAGAATGAGAAAGTAGACAGAGTGTGGAAGGAATCAAGAATTTAAGGGCTATTTCTGCAATTTAGTACATAGTATATGCTATTATGCAGCTATTAAATTATGTTGACAGATTTTTTACAATAGGGAAATGCTTATTTTTTTTAGATAAGGAGAGTATACAATCATTATTTTGTTAGAAATCTGTAGAAATTTGAGTATTTTTCTTTCTACTCTACTAGATATTTTTCAGTCTTTTACAATTAAAACATTATTTTAAAAAAATATTAAAGCATTTATTTTATCTTGACTCTAGCCTCTTTGGCAGAGTCTTTCTGGTTACAGAAGATTCATTTATGTCCTCATAACTGAAACAGCTACAGGTAAAGATTTCTTTTTAAGTGTCATGAACAAAATACTCTGCTCAATTTAAAAGAGCAATTTTGAAATGCTTTTCTATGATCTTTGATTCATCACAGAGTTACATTTGAGGTTTTTTTCTTTTGTATTTCAATACTTAGGTTCAAAGTACTTTAGAAATGTCTTTTATACTTAGAAACATTCATACTGAACACAGTGTGCTTGCTGTCAAAAAAATTAAGTTATACATTTCTAGATGTGTTTATGACCAAACATTGTTCAGTAATGTGATTTTGAAGGACATGGAAAGTGAATAGAAAAGAATGTATTACTTGGGGAGCTATATGTGATTGTTATTCATAATTATTAACACATGAAAATTCATGTTCTTCTAATTTTTCCTTGACTTAACAATAGTCATAAAACAAGTGATTCCCATATATTTTTGCTCTCTTGATTTGCAGTGAGGTTTTTGAGATTCTAAATGCCATATATCAAATTTGCCTGGAATTTTTCCCTGGAAAGTGAAAAGTTAAGTGTGTTTTTGAAAATTGAGAAGGCAAAAATGCTGACTGAAAGGTTGGTTTGAGCATCTCATTTTCCTTATTTCCCAATCTCCTGAAAAGAATAGCTGACATGAGTCATCAAAAAATAGAGATTATTGTATCTATTTTGAGCCTATTTACTCTGTAAAATTTCTTAATTTATATGGTTAAAATCAGTTTGTTTTATTAAGACAGATATTTTTCAACGTATTATTACTTGACATTCAACCAGTTTTAGCAGTAATTTTTACCAATAAAGTCTTAACCTGGATTTTCATCTTTAAATAGTATAGCAGTAAAGCTTGTCTTTAAGTCATTTCCCCTATGTCATGGCTTCTTGTAGCTTCTCACTTTGTGTTGTATCAGTAAATTGTAAATCAGTATGTATGTTACTACAGTATATTACTCTATCACAGTGACATGTAAAAGTATAGGCATCTACTAAAATGGTGTGAAGTAGATTTAATCTTAAGAGCTAGATAATCCAGGCAAGTTCATGCAATTTAAATAGTCTTAGGTTTAACCTTTCATTAGTTAGCAGTAATCTTAGGGTATCATGTACCCTGTTATTCTAATGAAAAACATTGCACAGACTCAGACTTTAAAGACTCAGATTTCTCTAAGAGAAGCACTAAATTTACATTCGTTTTTAAATAATTTCTAATATACAGTAATTCATTTAACAAGCTATCATTTGGAAGCTGCAATAGATAGAAAAAGGAGAGCCATATTCTTTGAATAAATTTATTACTTTTCTAATTTGTTTCTCCTGAGCTAAATAGGAAGTGTAAATATAAGCAACTAAGATAGGAAAGGGATATTTTCTATGTGTAATGTAAAATGTAAAAGAAGCCTTATTTCTTGTGACTAAGTGACAACCTTTAATAAACTAAAAGACTTAAAAGTATCCATATTCTTAATTCCAATTGTGTTTTAAAAAATGTGTACTCAGAAAATGTTCTCTAACTTCAGACAGGGCAGACAGGTTTTTATGGTGAAACAAGTCACAAAATATATGTTTGGCAACTCTGGTTTTCTAGATTTCCAAGTAAGTTTGAGTTGTTCTGAATCAAGCATGATAAGTTTTAGATGAAGCATCTGTATTTCTCAGGAAGTTTCTCTCTTTCTGTCAGACCTTAGCAAAGTCAACTAAGGTCTGCTTTACATGAATGCAGAATTCCACAGTACTGACATATTAAACTTGTGTATGCATAGATCACAGATATATGCTAACATCAAACTAATGAATTAGTTAGAAAATAGCATGTGTTGATTCTTGAAAGTGCTGTGTAATAGCTAGTAGACTTTTGAAGAAGAAAAAAACAAGGAATTAAACATCAACATTGCAAAAGGTCGTATTAGAATGATGGAGTAACTCCAGTAGTCTATAAATCTAATGAGATTAATTTAATAGTGCTAAAAATGTGCCATGTTTAAGTTTTAAAAAATAGGAAAGGCAAGTAGGCAATGTGGCAATAGAATTTTGCTTAAATTGGATTTGTTTAGCAGTGGCTGCCTGGTGCTAAGGGCCAAAGGAATTTACCTTGAAGCTTCAAAGCAAGCTGTGTTAGCTTTCATGGAGTAACAAACCACCCCAAAGTTGAGTAGCTTTAAACAATAACCATTTATTTAGTTCTTGTTTCTGTGCATTGGCAATTTGGGCCTTTATCAGCTGGGTGGTTTCTCTAGGCTCATTCCTGTGTCTGTCGTCAGCTGCTGATTGCTTGGAGACTGAGCAAGCATGGCTTCAGGTGGACTGCCTTGCCCACGTGGCTTTCTCCCAGGCACCTGCAGCCCCCTGGCCCAGTTCTAAGAGAAAGAGTGGAAGTCCTCAGTGCTCTTGAGACCTAGAATCAGCGCCGATACAATGTTTCTTCCACTGAATTCTGCTAATCTAAGCAAGGCTGAAGATCACTGTCTTGCCAGTGGGTTTCAGCCCCAGGCAAGTTCTCTAGGGATTCAATGTGACCAAAAAAATGACAGTAGAATGTTCTTGGGGTAAAAGGGTTTATTACCCGGCTTGTTCTCCTGGCTATAGGATCAAGCACTAGCATCTCTGCCTCTGCCCAGAGCACTGGGCCGAGCTCTTTGCATAGTGAATAGCTTATTGCCTAGGGGTGTGGAAGCAGTAGCCTAGCAACAGGCCAATTACATCATCAAGTGCTTTAGGTTCAGTGAGGATCCTGGCCATAGGAACCCCAACTTACCCCACAATCACCCTGCAACCAACTGGTCTGGAAATAGACCCCATCCCTTGATTGGAGGACCTGCAAAGTTATATTGTGAAGAGGGTGGACATAGGCAGGGGAATAATTGCTTCTTCTTTGTAAAGAATCTACCACACACCAAGCATACTGTTTTAATATGTTATAGATCAATTACAAGATGTTTTTATTCACACTCTACTTGTTGCGAAACTGTAGTTCCCACTGCAAGTTGGCTATTCATGTAGGTGAATTTGGACAATGAACCTAATAGCTGAAAGGCAGATTTTCTACTTAGACTGAATTATTTTTCAAGGCGGTGTGGGGGTACAGTAATGGGTTACAAAGTAAAATATTTTGTTTCAAAATAATATAAAAACGTCCACAATGTGTTCACTGAATGTGTCCAAAAGAAAATATAAATCTTCTTGACATTGTAGATAGTTATGTTTCTATAAATAGTTAATCATCTTTGGTAAAAAAATCGTGTTAAGAATAAATCACTATAAATGCAAACTGTGGAGTTTTTTGCTGCAAAAAATTAACAATTTTAAAGACAGTGATTTGAAACTTCAAAGTTGAACATCTTTTTTATTTCTAGGAGCTCTGCCAGTGCCGACCTGGGGAAGGAAATTGTTCCTGTTGCAAAGAGTGTATGCTGTGTCTTGGGACTCTTTGGGATGAGTGCTGTGATTGTGTTGGTGAGTTGACATGCAGTATAGTTTCTTAGTATTTCTTATCACAGAATCCTTGACTTTAAGACACTTTAGAGAATATAAATGTATTTTGTGCGTAGAGACTACTGTGTGTATAGAACATATGTTATTACATTTGCTTGTATTGAATAATACTTACATTTTTGTGTATTTTTTTAATAGAAAAAGGTTTGGGAGGAAATTAAAAGTGCATATTCTTGGGAAGATGGAGTAGAGGAACAATGGGAAATGTACTTTTTAAATGTTTTATACTGTTGAATTTATAATAAGCATGTATTATAGTTGCAAATAAAAAATAGGTACTTGGCATATTAAAAAATAGATTGTCTTCCTTTATGTAAGACCTCACTAAAAGTTCTTGAGAAACTAAAACTATTGTTAAGAGTTTTCTGAGGAACAGTCTCCAAGACATAGTAAGTAAAAAAAACAAGGTGCTGCAAAAGTATGTTTATAGAATGTTACATTTGTATGTTACATTTATGTTTTAGAAAGAAAACGTCCTAGAAGAAACACTCATTGTCCTCTCTCTGACCAGTTAACTTTTCCATCTTTTAAGTTCAAGTATCCCCTTGTCTCAGAAATCTTACTCTTTTGACTGAGAGTGCTTCATATTGTCTGTCTCTAGGAGGTCATGTTTTACATGTTATTGTAATTGTTTTGCATGTCTCTTCCAATAGAGTTTAAACTCCTTGAGAACAAGGATGATGATAAATGACGTTAGTTTAATTTCTCTAGAATATAACCTATTTAAATCTCATTTTTATCAAAGTGGTATATATATATGCACATACTTCAGTTATATGCTCACAAAGGATCTTCCCAATTCTTTGATCCTGAGACAACCACTCTCAGCTCTTTGTCACTGTATTATTTCCATAAATCTAGATAATATCCTTGTACTCTTCCCCTGATTCTTTGATTTTAGAAACTATCTGTTGACTTCTTATGTGGTAGATGATGAGTTAGCTTTCTTTTCTTATCTTCCCCATGTAGTTTTATTGCTACTTCTAGTTTAATCAGTAATTACTTTAACAATCTACTGAATAAATTAATGTTATATACTAGTTTGATTCACAATCGTGTAAACACTAATTTATTAAATGAATAATACTATCATATGTCTTTTTGTTTTAGAGTTTGCTTCCTGAGAGATTTCCTAATCTTCTAGCCTCTATACCAATGTTTAAAGTTTTGGCTTTCAATTTAATTTCCAAGAGCCTTCTCTGATTGTCTGTTTTGGGGAACACACTGTTTTTGTTTTATAAATAAAATATTTTTCTTCTCTTTCTGGGACTGTTCATTGTAGAGTTTGGTTGTTGAAGTTTTTCGTTCTGCTCTGCCCTGTTCCCATTTCCTCAAATGTCTGGTGATCCTTGGCCATCTATTCATCTGTAAAAGTTGGGCACTGACTGGGAGCCCTGCGTGTTTGGACAAGGCCTGGGATCAAGTTTGCCTCATGTGGGTGATTGGTGAGTAAACTGGCTTTTTCACTGAGGCCCTCTATCTCAGTGTCTGTAGGTCTTTCCCTTTGGTCTTGTACAGCTTTTTCAGAGAAGGATCTCTGAGTGTGTTGCCTGGGATTGGGTAGCAGAGCTGGTTGCAGATGTTCTGGGATCCTGAGGCACAATGTCAATATCCAGTAGTACTGTCACTTGCTTTCCTTGTTTCTTTCCATCCGTATCTCCACCTTTTACAGTTTTTGGTATTCCCAGCACAGGGTCTCTTCAGTTTAATTTCTCTAGAGAATAACCCTCTTGTCTCTGACAGTTGTGGGAGAAGAGAGACAGGGACCTGGAGGCATAACTATCCAATATAGCTTGCTTCTGCAATACATGGTGTCTCCACCTCTCACATCCTCCCAGATTTGGGTGGTGCACGTCTTCCTATGTGGGAGCCTGCTTAGTTGTTACATTTAGCTCTTAGCTTCTTCCAAGGTGGAGTTAGTGTTTCAGTTTCCTGCTTTTCTGTATTGTTTTTAGTGAATTCTGAGAGAACCAGGACAGAAATGTCTTTCCCTCTGTCATCTTAGATATTCTTGGTATTGCTAACTGCTAGTGTAGTGTTCAGTATACAGTAGGTGCTCCAGTGTTTTATGACTGTCAAGTAAATGAGTTCTTACTGCATTATTCTCCCAATGTGGATAGTTTATATCCTTAATGGCTATAACTTTTTTATTATGTCAGCTGAAATGAAAGAAGCTTTGAATTATTTTAGAGCATTAAATATAAGTTAATATATATGATGAAAGTAAAAAGAAAGTAAACATATTAACCCTGATATACATACAAGCATGTTTCATTTAATCATGATGCCAAATACACAAATACACCTTTAGCATTAACTAAATAATATGTGTGTATATTCGAGTGTGTGTGTGTGTGTGTGTGTTAGTATGTTCAATATTATATGACAGTACTGTGCCATTCTGCTTCTTACAGGAAAAATTTGTGCAGTTCTTCTACTGAGAAAGAATATTTATATATGTTCATATCTCTACAATTTTAGAAGCAACTGATGTGCTTCTGGCTTTTTCCTATTTTAAAAATATTTATTATTTACCTTTAAGGATTTAATCAGTTTTAAACTTTGAATTCATAATGTAAGTTTATCTTACATTTTAAATGCAGTTAATCTCTCTACTTTCTAGGATATAATTTAGATATCCCAGGTCTTTTTGTACAGCAGTACTCTTTTTTGCAGGCAGTCCTCTTTTACATTAGGTGCTCTGCACATCCTTTGGGAACATGTGGCTGCTCCTCCCCTCTAAGTTGAAACATTCCCCATACTTTTCATGGGTGGGGCACAGACCGCAGAGAGAACCCAAATTAGAGAGCAGCTTTCCCTTCCTGTTTCAGTCTGTAGACTGTTCACACATGCTGTTTCTAGCAAGCTTTCTCTTTCAGTCACTTTGTGTAAAAGAATCAGTTTCTCTTAACTCATTTTCTCCTAGCGTAAGAGTGACCACCATGACTTATTTTCATCCTTGCTGTCCAAGGTGTTCCTCAAAGCCTGTGGTTTTGGATCCTAGATCCCTATCTACAGGGTTCTGTTGTTGGCTGTTTGTTTATTTTGCTTTTGTTTTTCCAAATATATGCAGAAATAGCACAGTGAATGGCTGTGTACCAGCTCTATTACATACTTGTTTTTTCCATTTGTCTTGTCTTTCTTCCCCACAACTTATTTGTTAGAGTATTATAAAATAAATAATTTCACTACATCTCCAAAGTACCTTAGTTATACATCTCAAAAAAGAATAAATTTTCTTACATAATACAGTATCATTACCACACCTAAAATAATTAACAGTACTTCCTTAACATCTAATACCCAGTCCATCTCAGATTGCCCTCATTGGCTAAATGTTGGTTATAGCTATTATAGTCTAATCAAGATCCCACAAAGTCCACATACTGTATTTGGGCGTTAGGTTCCATAAGTTGCTTTTATTCTAAAACAATTCCTCCTCCCCTCAACACCTTTTAAAATTCCATTGACTTCTTGCAGAAATTAGTGAATTATGATGGAAAATATACCACATTCTGGATTTGGCTGATTGCGTCCTTTTTAGCTTGTTACTCTGTCCTATTTCTTATAGACTCTAAGTTAGGTCTAAAGGCTCATTAAATTCTGGTTCAGTTCTAGCACCATGGGTACAGTGGTATAATGTACACATTAATAACATCTAGTTGTCCTGCCTTTAGTGATCCTAAATTTGATCAGTGGGTTCAGATGGTGAAAGTCTGATTCCTTTGGTGTAAATCTTGTTCCAGTCTTTCACCTGTGGTTTCATCCTTCACTGGTGACCATTCAATTTCATTAAATAACAGTCTTCCAATTTTTATCACTCCTGCATTCATAAGCGGAAATATTCTGTATAGAAGAGCTTTTGTACAGATACTAGAGCTGTTCAGTTACCCTGAAATAAAGGATAAATAACAAGATGTAAGATAAATACTTAATTTTTTCTCTGAGTATTGACTTATACCTTAGCAAATTCTAGTAGGGTTCAATACATTTTTACTTTGGTTTTTGGTGTGTGTGTGTGTGTTTTAAGTATCATTGTGAACTAACAGCTTTTTTATATATTTCATGTTTTAATCAGTTGCTGTCGTATTCTTTTTGCTCAAATTTTCCCATCTTTGGTTCATAGAAGCCAGTTCAACTTGGCTCTTGAGTCCTTTTGACATGCCTTCTGGCATCTTTGTTAGCTTCAGACAGGCTGTCTGAGGCTCATCTTACATAGATGCCTCACATCTGGAATTAGCCATTTCTCCAGCAAGCTTTGGTTCCCTTTAGAAGAAAATAGTGGTGAGAGACCATAATCTCTACATTAGAGGTACTTGCTGTTACTATTGGGTTATCTTTTCTTCTAGCCCCTTTAAGTGGGCAGAACTAATAGTTACAGGGGAATAACTTATGAGTTTGTACTAATACTGTCAATTCAAATTTAACGTTACAGGGTCTTTGCTCCTTTTGATTTTGTATCTGTAACTTCATTTATGCTGAAATTTTTGGTTCCTAACAACATTAATATAATTACTTACATACTTTATAATGTATCAAGAAGACTATTAAATGACAGTTAAGATTGCTTTGTCTTTGAATATGTACTGAAGATGTAAGGCCAAATACTGTCTTCCAAGGTCAGTTGGAGTCATTTTATATGAGTGGGTTATGTGAATAACTTGACATAAAATTAGGTTCACATGTGTTAGCTTGTTTCCAATTTTGGGGCATTGTTTCCTTTTTTTACTTATTTTTATGTTTTGATTATATAAAATAGTTACATGATGAGAAAGACAAATGTACATAAGTATAATGCAGATAGTTCCTTTCCATCCCTGTCACCTCTACTGTAGATAAAGTGACCATGTAAGTTATTATCTGAACTAGGACACCTGAGAGGGAAACCAGGTCAGTAGGACAGAGCTGAACCTGAACCACCTGAATTGACTCAGGAAACTGGGACAAATGGTTTCATCCTA